TTCTGCTAACCATCCACTAAGTCAACACCCCTTTTCTCATCTTCTCCCATTAGGATGATTCCCCTGTCTCTCCGAACGTCGGCTGCTTCAAGTATCTCCTCCAGTTTGGCTGCTTGTTCTTTGTCGATTGCACACACTCGTGCAACGTTGAAAACCACCTGCTAACCAGGTAAAACTTTGATCTTTCTGACTGAAGAGATTAATTTGTTTCACAAGTAACTTCGAGGCTACCTTGAAGTGTTGCGTGTCTCCGGCCGCCAATCCGCCCTCCGGTTTCCCATGCTGACGGCGATACCGAACTATGGGAGTGGTGTGTCTCTCGTTTCCGAGCGTTTCTTGTCTCCGCAGAAAGCGTTCAAAGATGAGATAGTGCGGCATAGTTGTACCTTTTTGAGGGTAGAGTGTATATCAGCTTGACCCTAGAACACTTACTCACGATGTGAAGAAGGTGGATTGGATTGCCATGGCGTCGATGGTGGCCTTTAAGACACGCTTGATGATGAAAGTCGCAAACATCGATCCAGTCCATCGTCACCCTAATTTTAATACCTTGCTGCGCAGTCTATGAGGAGCGTGGTGCCAACTCCTCAAGTGCTGTGCTTATCTTGGTCAATTTGTTAAGCTTATGGGCAAAGTCACGATCTCGTCCAGACTCACATCAGGTATCTTACGGTGAACCCTGATAATTTCCACATTGCAATGTAGCCGATGCAAATGAATCTATTGAGTGTTTCTAGCTGGTATCACTCTCCTTGGTTGCTTTTGATGTCATCATCCATAAATTAACAAGTTCATCCCGAGAAAAATCAACGTTCGCGTTATCACTTCATTCCCAGATAAAGGTCTATACATGGCAGCGCCGACTCCGTTGAAACGCTGGCCGTCCATGAACTCTTACGCCCTCAGTGGCGTCGAGAGTTCAGACGGGGCCATTGAAGTATCGCTCAAAACATTTTCCCTTTTTTTGTCGTCACTCCGCTTTCTAGCACATCCTGTATACGCTCTGGCCCTGGGAAGAGCGGTTCTTATCCTCGCCTTCGAAGTTGTAGTCAATCTCAATATCGAGATCACGGCGGTTCTTGGTGTTAGGCTTGACGCGCAGGATGCACTCGACCTCCTCGCCCTGCTGGACGGTGAGGACATCCTTCAGGTAGAAAACAGTCTGCTTCCAGTGGGTGTACTTGGTATGAGGACCGGTGGAGAAGCGGATGGACTTGTGGCAAGCAGCGAAGTCAATGTCAAACCAGGAGACAAGGGCGTGGATGTAGTCGTCACGCTTGACGGGAAGCTTGAAGTTGGCAGTGAATGCCAGATCGGCAGTGGTGCAAGTGTTGAGGTCCAGGTTCAGGACAGCAATTGGGTCGGTGACAACAGTCTTGACCTCGACGGTGTCGACCAGAGGCTCAGACAGGGCAGTCTCTTTCAGAGGGCTGTAGTCGAAACCATAGACGTTGTCCCAGACTAAAAATTGCGAATGTTAGCAATAGTCGCCAGCACAGAAAGCCCCGTCCACCAAATCGCGAGGTACTTACATCCAATCTTCTCGTCCTTGTAGTCGCCATCCTCAATTCCGGCGAAATAGATGGAGGCCTTGTCGGGGAAGATCAGGCCGCCCTTCTCCAGGTAACGGTCACGGGCGTACAGGACGGTGTCCAACATGGACTCGTAGAGAAGGAAATAACCCATCCACTCGGAGATGATGATATCAACCTTGGGGAAAGGAAGTTCAACCTCCTCCATCTTTCCCTGGATCAGGGTGATCTTATCGGAGAGGCCATTGACCTTAACAATCTCGCGGGCCTTGAAAATAATGGTTGACATGTCCACGCCAATAACGTGCTTGGCGCCAGCCTTAGCAGCGAACCTGCAACACCCAACACAATCCTTTGTCAGCTCCCTTTTTCTGAATTTGCAATAATTCGCGGGCGGCGGTGCCCCTGTTGATCCTTCGGAGGCAGGAGCTCGTGCACGTACATGGAAAGAATAGCAGTACCACAGCCGACATCGAGAACGACCTTGTCCTTGAAGATGTGCTTGTTCTGGATAATAGCCTGCATATAAGACTTGGTGCGAACTTCATCTTTCTGTTGGGTTGGTTAGGTTATCGCTGTCATACATCGTGGGGCCATGCAGCCAAAACATGGTGGGGGAGGGGAAACTCACCAACATCTCCTCGTGGATGCCTATATAAACGAAGCGGCAAGGGCCATAATGTCAGTCAAGACCTCCAGAAAATACCAGCGCAAAATCGGAGTATCAATATCAGACCGTACCATGATGATCGTAGCTGTGCGAAGCGAAAAGGTTAGCCCGCGGTGTCCAGAGTGCGCCGTTGGGGAAGGGCCTTGCGAAAAAAAATCAGGGTTCTTGCTACACTGTACCTCTTGAAATAATGCTGCTCGCTGTGCTCCATAGCATTCATCTTCTGCTCAGCAGCCTCGACATCCATCTTGTCGCCGCTCATTTTGATCGCGATTATGGAAATGAAAACTTAGCGAAAGTTGGGGTGGCAAGGAAAATATGGAAGAGCAGCCGTGTTGGAACTGTCGCAGCAGCGCAAGCGGTTTTGATCGGGCAGAAAAGAAATTCAGGATGGTCACCGCCCACCAGCAGTTCTTCTACTAACCTAGCGCCCAGCTCGACTCGCGCAGGACCCTTATGCCGCCCCACTCGGCACGAATCAGATCAGCACGCGCGGTACTCCATAGAAGGATCGATTCATGATGCTTGTTGCATGTATGGTTGTGTCAGGGCTATTTTCAGTTCCTCCATTGAGTTCTCAAGTCGACAGGATGCACTGCTGAGAACCAATGGCAGTTCTGCAGTGAGACCACATAATTGCAAACACATGATCCTATCCCGGCTGAGAGAGGATTCGCACGACTGTGTTAGAACAAACTCGTGCTTCAGAGAAAACGTTGAATCGGGAGCTGACTACACCTGGTGCTGGTTTGTCTACCCTCCTCAAACCATACCTATAGCATGATTTGATCCAGCCAGGGCATTCCCATGTCTTAAAATAACTATGTGGATTACTATATGGATTACTATACAGATTACTCTACTCTCATGGACACATCTATCATTACCTAGTGAGTATCCGTTGGTTACAGGAGGAACCCGCAACAACTCAGCGCGCGGCTGTAACCAACAAATACATACACCCACCTAATAGCCTAGTGACAAAAGAAATGAGACACCAAGGGTCCAGTCTATACCTTTGGAGCTATAATGAGTCCTTATGTTTGATTCCTTCAGACTAACAATAAGTAAAGAACTAGATAATACACTCTATATCATAAAAGTATATCCATTTTCTTGTTATATTATTCTGGTTATTGTAGACTGTGCTCAACCTATGTAATTAATTATAAATTTCGTGTCTCGCTTCTTCTGTCACCCACTTGACTAAGTAAACCCGATGCACATAGCAAGACATGGTCTCACCCCAGATTTTAGCGGGCCCTCGGCCGCGGTGTTTTTCCGGCCAACACCACAGCTCGCCCAGCATCCAAACACCAACTTTTTTGCTAGGTCGACAGGCAGGCTACACACCTTCGATCGCAATTGGCAGCCCCTCCGGACCTCAATCCGCCATTGGAACAGTCCCGCCACGCCTCAGAGGCACTGCTTCACCATCATGAGCAGGGCGCTCTTCCGCTCCTCCCTACCGGAGCTCCGGAGCTTCAGCGCAGCCCGTCTCCGACCTACCGCAGCCGTGCTCCCATTCTCTTGGGCCGCCACCACCACCACCCGCTCGTTCAACAGCACCGCTCCCATCGTCGAGCCCGTCTCCGTGAACAACAACGCCCCCAACCCCACGGCCAGCCAGGTCCGCCCCCTGGCCCTCAAGAAAAGCCACCCCGGCGCTCCCCCCGCCCCCATCGCCGACTCCGTCAAGAACCTCCTCCCCTTCCTCGCCGCCCAGCCGGGCCACTACATCACCGTCCACATCCACGGCTTCCCCTACCTCGTCCAGGAGGGCGACCAGATCCGCCTCCCCTTCCGCATGCCCGGCGTCCTCCCCGGCGACGTCCTCCGCTTTAACCGCGCCAGCGTCATCGGCAGCCGCGACTACACCATGAAGGGCGCCCCCCACATCGACGAGAGGGTCTTCGAGTGCCGCGCCACCGTCCTCGGCGTCGAGTCCGAGCCCCTGCGCATCAAGATCAAGAAGAAGAGGAGGCAGAGGCGCAAGAGGCAGGCCAAGAGCAAGCACAGGTACACCATCCTGAGGGTGTCGGAGCTGAACATCAAGAACCTGGAGGAGGCGACGGAATGAGCCGGCAGCGAGTATATCTATCCAATTGGAAGTTTTTTGGGTGTGCGAGAATGAGAATGAATGCACATTGTATCAGCATCACGGGGGCGTCATCAAGCCGTCTGTACCATTTCCTCGAGGAAGAACCCTTGTATAATAGATATTCAACTAAATGACTAAAATGTGCCATTACCTTCCAAAAACTATAAGATCCAAAAGCAAGAGGAGTTGATCTATAATTGTATTATGCTGAAAATGATTGGTTTTTATGCGAAATCGCTATAACAAAAAAACGGAGTTCAAGACGCTATGCCGTCTTGGAGCCACCAAACTCTTTCAACCCTCGGGGATTTCGAAAACAGATAAGTACAATAGGGGGTATTTAATAGGCCCACGGTGAAGAGGTACCAAGCAAGATTGGAAAAGCAACGGATGAAAAAAAGAAGCTCGAGAATGAGAAACACCAAACACCGTGGCAACAAATGTTTGCCCTCTGCTAATCGCCAATTATTCATAATAGCATTAAAATCGTCCAGCTCTCGAGGAAAGATGGTATAAGTGCACGACATTCCCTCAGGAAAAAGCACGGAAGAAAAGGTAAATATGATGCCAGAAAAGCCCCCAAGCGAGATGGGAAGATGGGTATGCAAGTACGCTCGCCTCAACCTCCTTGTCTTTTTTCGAATTGCATTTAGTGTTTGCTGTGTGCGTATTTGTGGCTGGGTGGGCAGATTTGACCTCATGATCTGTTTCCTGTAGCTTTTCTAATGCTCGCCCAGTATGCCTGTGGCCACACATTCTTGCTCTCGGATTCGGTCGGCATGCGCTCGCGGCAGCGTGTCACGACACTCTGGATAATCCTTCCAAGGAGCTCTTCGTCAATGGGGAGGCCCTTGTCGCCAAGCTCAGCAGGGTGGAGGAAGGGATCCGTCTCATGCAGGAGCTCCTCGCAGGTAGGTCGCATATGCTGATCACGGAGCAAGCAGCGCTTCATCGTGCGAACCAACGAAGGAGGAACGGTAATACCACCCAAACCACGGGAAGGAAACTCAATAGCATGGTCCCAGTTGATAATTGCTTGGCACCGAACCACATAGTTGGGAATGTGGTTGAATGGAGGAGCACCATATACCATCTGGTAGAGAATGCAGCCAAGCGACCAGACGTCGCTCGGCTTACCGAGCTTCATCAATTTAGGACGACCAGCAACTCGGCCGTCGCGGCTACTGTTCGAATCAAGTAGAGATTCTGGAGACATGAAGTTGATGGTTCCAATCTGGGTTTCGCGATGAATATTGACAGTCTCATCGGTCTGGATCGCATTAGCGATGCCGAAATCAATGAGCTTCAAGCGTCCCTTGACAAGGACAAAATTTGCGGGCTTGAGGTCGGAGTGAACGACATCATGCTGGTGGACAGCACTGAGGCATTCAAGCATCTCCTTCCAATAGTGTCGGACGAAAACGGTATCCAGCTTGGCTTCTTCAAGGGTGTACCGATCCTTCAGAAGACTGTTCATATCAAGCTCACCCATCTCCATAACCTAAATGGGAAATCATTAGCTTGGCTCCCAAACCAAAAGGAACATCGAGATTTACATACCAAAGTAAGCATTTTCTTTTCCTCATTCATCTCATAGTCGATGAGGTTGATGACTCTTTCGACGCTTGCAAGTCGGGTGAGCAGGTCGATTTCTCCACGGAAACCCTTGATTGTCAGAGCATCCGCATTCTCAAGGGACACGCGTTTGAGAGCATGCATCTTGCCGTTCTCTGCTGTTACACGATACACCTTGGCACTGCCACCTCGCCCGAGACAGTCCAGCCGAGTGTACGGCTTTCCATTAACTTTGAGGACGTTCCTTCTTTGCTTGACCTGAGTGGTGGTTGCGGCTCCAGCCGTAGCGGTAGCCGTTTCGACAAGGGACATCTTCGGAGGTGGCGGCGGAGCTCTATGTGGAGTATTGTGCTTCTGAGAAAGCGCGGCTAGTGGCTTTCTCTCCGGTGAAGACGGCTTCCTTTCTTGCAGGTCAACGCTCATCGGTCGGTTGGGGGGCTTCTCAAGGACATGTTCCTCAGCGGGCTTGGATCGCCTCAAGCTCATCGGGATGCCATTCTCCTGGTCATGCGCTGATGGGAGTTCGGGACGTGAGAGTGCCGGTCGAGGGTTACTCTCTCTTGCCTGTTCTTGTTCCACCAGAGGCTCAGGTACAGAATTCTGCTGCTGTGGTTCTTCTGGTACTGGCGAGCGTCTCAACGGGCTACGTCTCTCAGAGCTTGAGACCTGGTTTCGTTGGCTCGCTCTTGCAGATGCGTTGCCACTTACCGGGCTTCCAGAGTGAAAGTCGCGGTTGACATCGCCGTAGAAAGAAGAGGCAGCAGGGTCGTCGCCCAGATGACCCCCATTCTCTTGGCTAGAATGCAGCCCCTCCCCCTCGAGGTTTTCATTGCCGTCCTCCTCGCTTTGCCTCCTTAGGCCGCGTCGAGCTGGCCCGCTGAGGAAAGCTCCACTGAGCTTGCCAACTCTCTTTACCCGCATCGAACTCTGGGGGTTCGCGATGTCTTCCTGACGATTCTTGTAGCTGCTTGAGGGATAACGAGCCATGCTACCCATACTAACGAGTGGAGCCTCTCGCGCAACTGCCTCTGGATCGTCATACTGGTAGTCTCCCTCGAGTGCTGATCTATCTCCAGCAGAGCGATCTGAGCCTGACTTGGAAGACGAATTGTGCAACGATCCAATACGGCTTCGGTTACCCGATGATCCAATCGCAATGCGCACGACCCGACCTTGCTGGTTGGGAGTGTTGATGTCTGGTTGGGGCTCTGGCTCCTCTTCCGCCGGCTTCTCGCGATAGCTGGTACGGCTAGCGGGCCTCACGGGCTGGCCGGCGGCTCTCTGGGTAGACCTGGTGGTTGAAGTTGAGCGCCTCTTGCTTGGGCCTATTTGATTCAGGCTCTGAGCGGTATGGCTGAGGCGGACAACCCGCTTCCTAGGGGGGCTGGGCTCCTTTTCTTTCTCAGGACTCGGGGGCTTGGCAGCCTTTGGTTCCTCAACAGACGCGCTCCCTGAGCGTAGGTGTCTTCTCCTCTCGGTAGCCGAGGATGTAGACGAATTCAAATTGCTTGCGCGTCTCCGAGTGCGAGGGGGCGACGGTTGAGCAGGTGGTTGGGGTTCTTGTGTCCCATCAGTATTCAACAGTGCCTTGGTTAGGGCGCTGAGCTTCATGGGGACGAATATCTCGTCCTCTGAGCTATCGTCGTTGTACTGTTGCTGCTGTGGCTGTGGCTGGGACTGGGACTCCTGTCGTCGTGATTGAGGCTGGCTCTCTTGCGAAGCGCTGGCCGCTGAGGCTGCTGATTGGGCTCTGGATAAATTGGCTGATGATGTTGATCGCGAGGGAATCCTCCGCAGCGCCTGTCGCTGGGAGGTCCTGCGGCCAGGTCCTGCCGGTGCAGGAGTCGGCGAGGCTGCGGACATTGCTGTGTTGGTGTTGCGGCGGAAACGCGATAAACAGTGTTAGTGGCAGCTGAATGGTGATATACAGGTTGTGGTTGTCGGTGGAGGTTTTCAAGGAGCGGTTTACGTGTAAAGTAAGGGCATGGTCCAAGAAATTAAAAAGAAGCTGAATTGCAGCAAGAAAAGCCGAGAGGCGCGTGTGTATACATCACCAGGAAAGATATGGGAGGGACTGGGAATTATTTTGGAGGTTTCGAGCTTGGGCCAATCACGTAGCCGGCCGTTGCCCTGAGCAACGGCGCTGGATGGGCCTGCAGCCCCACTTTGAGCACCACCGAGTACGTGGTAATTATTCCTTGCATTGACCATGATAGGTTAGGAGTAAATAATGTGTTCAATAAGGGGTCGAGAAATCTTGTAAACGGATGAGTCAATGTACATTTGGTGCGCTTGATTGCCATCCCCTTCTGGCTATGCCCTCAAATGGAAACATGCAGTGTACGTGGAGTGCATATAATGAAGACGACGTCCTCAGATGAACCATCCGGGTACTAGTGCCACGAAGTTACTTGCACAGCTTTTGGAGAAGTTACAAACTCAATCATAGTGTGCTGCGAACACGGATGTACCTAGACATTGTAGATATGAGACTCGACTAAACCAGCACACCTGCAAGAAAATCCAATGTGGCCAGAGTAGATCAAACCAGACAGATCAGATGAAATGCAGCCCATTAACTGGCCGGAGCTGAGACGTGCCCCGGTTTCCCGATGACTGGGCATCCGGCCATTGGTGGCCAATCACCTCCAGAACACGGCGGAATGTGTGAACAGACCGACGGTCGGTGTTATTGGTGGTTCCAACCTACAACCATTATCTCCCACCACTTGGCTCAACCGCGCTTCACACCACCACCGTGCTGACCTCGTCGCTGCCTGCTTCCTTATCTATCAGGACGATTCCCGTCTCCTCCTCCTCCTCCTCCTCCTCCTCCTCCTCCCATTTCGACGCCAAGTCTACCGATGCTATGACAATGGCATCACCGAGGAGCAAGCTATGGACATTGGTCCTCTCCCTCAGCTTGCTCCTAGTCTTCTTTACCGACTTCGCCCATGCTTCCATCGGCGACAGACTGCCAGAGTTTGGCCAATGCCTTGAAGTAAGCTTTCCGTTGGCTCAATCCAACCTAGCTTCACCTTGATCCCAATCTTCGATCCTCTGGCTAACCTCCCCTCCAGATTTGCAAGACGGAGAACTGCGGCACTGGCACCGCACACACTCCCATCCGTACGTCTTCATCGCCCCGTCCTCCAGACCTACCTTCCCTCAACGAAACCAAGCCAAACCTTGCGAAACAAATCTCTAGCTTTCCCTCTCGTCTAACCACCCCGCCGCCTCTCTAGCCCTCCTCCACCGCCTCCTCCTCTGGAACTGCGCCAGCGAATGCGACTACAGCTGCCAGCACATCATCACCAACCGCCGCGTCCAGTCCGGCCACCCCGTCGTCCAGTTCCACGGCAAGTGGCCCTTCCACCGCTTCCTCGGCATGCAGGAGCCCCTCAGCGTCCTCTGGTCCCTCGGCAACCTCCTCGCCCACTGGGACGGCCTCCGCAAGGTCCGCGCCTCCATCCCGGCCTCCTACCCGCTCCGCCCCTTCTACGTCGCCCTCGCCCTCGTCGGCGTCGCCTCCTGGTCCTTCAGCGCCCTCTTCCACACCCGCGACTTCCCCGCCACCGAGCAGCTCGACTACTTCGCCGCCGGCGCCAACGTCCTCTACGGCATGTACTACACCCCGATCCGCATCTTCCGCCTCGACCTGCCCACCCCGCGCCGCCGCTCCTTCCTCCGCGTATGGTCCCTCCTCTGCGCCGCCCTCTACCTCCTCCACGTCGGCTACCTCAAGGGCATCCGCTGGGACTACACCTACAACATGGCCGCCAACGTCGCCTGCGGCATCGTCCAGAACATCCTCTGGAGCTGGTTCAGCTACGACAGGTACCGCAAGTCCAGGCGCACCTGGGCCATCTGGCCCGGTCTCGTCGTCTGCTGGGTCATGTTCGCCATGAGCATGGAGCTCTTCGACTTCCCCCCCTGGTTCGGGACCGTGGATGCTCACAGCATGTGGCATCTCATGACCATTTTCCCGACCATCTTATGGTATAAGTAAGTAATGGACCAGTGACCGACAAGGCCTCTCAGCTCGTGAGATGAACAGATGTTAACTATCCCCCAGCTTCTTGGTCAAAGATGCACATGATGATATGGCCGGAAGCGAAAGATTAAAAATGTAGGCTCGCAGGCCACATTGTACACATTGGCTTGAATGGAATGGGTTCAGCGGGGCATATACTCTCTTTTGCAGCTTACGTAGATATTGATACATTAGGTGGTACTCGCAGAACTACCAGAAGAGCATTTCGAATGAAAAAAAAACCCTTTGATGAATTAGACCCTTGCAAAAGAGCCAACTTGTGCCTGACTTTTCAATGGTTCGGATCAACCATTTCCATTATTCTAAGTTGTTGAAAGCAATAATCCCACCAGAAACACGCAAAATAATAGTCCCTAAAACCCCCGGAAAGCTACCTTACCAGATTCAGTCGATCATGGCACGCACATCCATTCTATCCAAGTGTGTTCCATATAGCCAAGGAAAAGGGACGTCCGAACGCCACAAGCCGTACAATCATGCTCCACGTGTATCATTGCAAACGTAAACGCCAAGGCTGTCCCTACCCTCATGTACTTAGGAGGTCCCGAACCGAAACAGTCCGTCGATTAGCGCCCTTAGCGTAGCCTCTTCGGTCACTGTTCAGCATCAAGAGAGCTGCGGTGGCCTCCTGATCGAGGTCTGACTGGGGGTTGAGGGCTGGACTTGTCAACGTCGAGCCCGCATTGCTTATAGCATAAGGGCCCTGTGTCTGTGGTCCAAAAGCAGGAGAGGTGCCGGCAGATGAGCTGTAGCTATAGTGCCGGTGTTCAGTTGACACAGACGAGTATGAGTGCTGTCTGCCCCGTGCGTCTTGAGCATAAAGGGCTGGGGATACAGATGGGTGGCGAGGGTGCGTGTTACTGGGATGATCGGGAACAGCTGTAAACGTTGGGGAGACGGCTTCCGAGTCCGTCATTTCAACATCTGCTGCAGTATCATCCCGGAATGTAGGGTGAAATTCGCGAATTGAAGGTAGTTGGCTGACGAGGCCACGGCTCTGGTCTTGATCGTGTTGCGCTTTGAGCTTAGACACACAATCTTCCAAGTACCGAACGTATTCAATCGATGCCTGGTCAAAGCATTAGCCATCTATTTTCAATAGAATTTCTCACAAACGGAAAATGCTTACCTGTAAAATGGCCAATTTGTGCATCTCGCCCGTGCAAGCAGGGATCATGCTCTTAAGAAGAGCAAACTCCTCGTTCATTTTGCTTCTTCTCCTCCTCTCAATCAGGCTGTGGGCTGTCTTTCTTGCGATCTTCCTTCCTGCAGCACTGGTCGCACTAGGCTGCTTCTTCTTCCCTTGTTGGCCACCAGATCCTGAAGCCACAGTCGTGGCAGCCTTGCTCGCACTTGCAGCTCCCTTGCCCTTGCCCGACTCTTTTCCTTTTGCCGTCGAGTTTGTTGCGTTTGTCACGGTACTGTCACTAGCCTCATCTTGGGGAGGCTTCATCTGAATAATCTTGCGAGATCGTGTGGGTGGTGGAGGGAGGGCAAAGGTGCTTTCTTTGGCGGTAGACGATCGCCTTCGGGCCTTGACGGTCTCGGCGGCCTGCATGGGATATGTCGATTGCGGCGAGGGGGGCAGCTGGTTCTGGCCATGCTGGTCTGTGGGCGGCGAGATACGGGCAACATCATGAAGAGCTGGGGGAGGCAGCTCAAGAGATATATTGAGAGATGCCAGCTTCTGTGTGCCGTCCTGGCCCTTCAGGTCAGATAGGGACCCCGGTGTGGGGGGAAGGTTAGGGCGAGGCATCGTATTAATATAGATGTCAATGCAACAGCTTGGGGGCCAAGTAATATGTCGAGGCGATTGGGATTGTTTAGAACAAAGTCCCCGGCAAATAAAAGTCGAGTGACCAATGTTGCGAACGGGATATTCACCAGATACTCGACGAGTGACGGCGCAAGGCGGCTCCTATTTGTATGTTTGTAGAACTAGTCTTGCGGCCGTGTGTGTCCGCAGTATTCAAAAGTTGCCCAGTCGGGAGGATGGAAGCTCAGATGAGATCTTGTGAGACGAATGACGGAGCCGTCGCCGTTGAGACAGACACCGAGGGCAGGCGATATATGGATTCCGGGGGAGTAGAGCTCAGTTGAGGGGGCGAGACAGCAAGATCACCGTAGCACGACGGAGGACAATGGCCATAACTGATGGGAGCAGGACAAACAGATAGGTACGGGAGGGAGCAAACTCCAGGACAAAACTCATGGGGAGGGCGAGCACCACCTGGGTTGGTTGGGTAGGTAGAAGAGTGATGTAGGGATGGAGAGAGCACGCGGAAGGCGGTGCTGGCGAAAGTTGCCTCCCAGCCGATCACCAAGCGTGACAGACTACTAACGCAGAGACGGTGGCAGGAACACCTCCTTGGTCGTGAGAGAAGAGTGGGCGACAGCTACAGACGGGAGAGGGCTAGGTCGGGACTTGGGTGCAAGTGCAGCCCCTCCAGGGCAAGATACCTCACAGAACATGCCTCCAGACGGCATGGCTGGCACTTGCGGCCGTCCAGAGATAGACGGCGTGTCTGGCGCAATCATAGGGGACCCGGAATATGGCAGTCGAACTCAGGCCGATTGACCAAGCATCATCAAGAAAATGGTCGCGTGCTCCCTCCGGGCTGGACTGACAACGGGCCAATCAGAGCGCCGCCCTCGCCCATGTGGTCGGCCTGGGATTTGCCTGGCCCCCGGTCCCAGACTCCAGATGCGCCTCCTGCCTCTAGCAAGGGAACGTGCTCGGATGGGACGAATCGGCGTCGAGCATGGCGCGAGATGTGAGCATGTGAGAGTTTGCCCTGGGGGTATTGGGGGAGGGTCCGGAAACCGTCAAAGGGCCGGTTGCGGGTCCTGGAGATGACGCTTCACCGGCGTGTGGGCGAGCGATTGGCGATTTGGCCCTTTGGCTGCTGAGATGGGCGTTTCGGTACCCAATCCAGGCATGGCATCGCCAATTGACTCGTCGCGACTTTGCGGAACGAAGAGAGTTTTGTGCTAGAGACCAGCTGCGCCTCTCTGGGTAAAGGCAGTGTCGCATGCAGGTCGCATTGATCATCGCCTGCGAGACGGGCAGCAGAGTTTGGCCTTCTCCTCATCTTGGCCCCTTTTATGCAGCCTCAATGTCTGGCCACCTCACTGTGTAACATGTAATCCATCATAGGCACGCGACACAGCACACAGGTACTCAGGGAGCGCGAGGATCTCTCTGCCAACAGACTTTGAGCTTAATTGGCGTGTTTTCGAGGCCGCCCCATCCTCCACCTTATGCGGACATGAAAACATCACAGCCTTCATCCTTGCATGAGCTTGCCAAATCCACGGTCTCGGACGATCATCACACACCAATAGCAACAGAGACAGCCGAGTTGATCTGCTTTGACCGATCAATGGCTCCGGACTGGCAGGAAGAAGCCAAGTGCACAGATCAGGTAGTATGCACAATACGGGACTCCATCTTATTGCTTAATAAGTGGACTGAGATTGGCCTCACGAGTCCCAAGATTCACTATTTCGATATAATTACATAAGACGCCATGGGGAGTGGGCTGTTCCCGTTGTCCAGGGTAGTTGCTCCTTTCCCTTCATTTCGTAAAATCATATTCCATCCTGTTCTCTTAACTCCCAAATCATATAAATCGTGGAATGCAATGCTTTTCCATGGGTGCTTTTGTTGGGTATCTCAAAGTCTTCTAAACCTCGTTGCTAGGGTATGTGACCTTGAGGGTAGGGTTGAATTCCTCCTTGATAGCCCTGATGTTGACGAAGCGTGTCAGCAAGTTGGAGCTGCCGGCCTTGTCGTCAGTACCGCTGGCCCGGGCACCTCCGAATGCCTGCTGCCCAACCACGGCACCAGTGCTCTTGCAGTTGACGTAGAAGTTACCGGCCGCGTTGCGCAGCTTCTCCTCGGCAAAGCGGACGGCATTTCGGTCCTGGGCGAAGATGGAGCCAGTGAGTCCGTACTCGGAGGTGGTGTCAACGAGCTCGGCAGCCTTCTCGAAGCCGTTGGGGGCTGCGTCGTCGTAGATGTAAGTCGTGAGGATGGGGCCGAAGAACTCGGTAGAGAGGTATGGGTGGGCTGGGTCCTTGGCCTCGTAAACGGTAGGGTGGATGAAGTAACCCTTGGAGGAGTCGTAGGTTCCGCCGGCGACAAGCTCAAGCCCACTGTCTTTCTTGGCGGCGTCAATGGCACCCGAGAGCTTCTTGAATGAAGCGTTGTGGATCACGGGGCCCATGAAGTTGCTGTGAGTCCATGGCTCGCCAATGGTGATGTTCTTGATCTCGGCGACAAGCTTCTGCTTGAACTCGGGCCAGAGCGACTTGGGGACATAGAGACGAGAGGTGGCACTGCATTTCTGGCCCTGGAACTCAAAAGCTCCACGGACGGTCTGAATCACGGCGTTATCGACGTCGGCAGAGGGGTGGATCAGGTGGAAGTTCTTGCCGCCAGTCTCTCCCACAATTCGGGGGTAGGACCTGTAACGTCCCTCGGCAACACCCTGGCCAATGGCGCCGTACAGCTTTCGGAAGACGGCAGTGCTACCAGTGTAGTGAAGAGCAGCGAACTCCTTGTGGCTAAGAACCACCTTGGTCACCTCCTCGGGGTTACCAGGGACGAACTGGATGACATCCTTGGGCAGACCGGCCTCGACGAGAATCTTGTAAACCAACCAGTTGGAGAGGATGGCAGAGTCGCTGGGCTTCCAGACAACAACGTTACCCAGAAGGGCGGGTGCGCCAGGCAGGTTACCAGCAATGGCTGTGAAGTTGAAGGGAGTCACCGCGTACACGAAACCCTCCAGGGGACGGTACTCGAGTCTGTTCCAGACACCAGGGGTGTTGTGCTGGGGCTGCTGGTTGTAGAGCTCCTCGGCGTAGGCAACGTTGAAGCGGAGGAAATCAGCCAGCTCAGCCGCAGCATCAATCTCGGCCTGCCAGGCATTCTTGCCCTGGCCGAGCATGGTGACGGCCATGATGTCATAACGGTACTTGTTGGCGATCAGATCAGCAGCCTTGAGGAAGACGGCAGCACGGTCGGCGAAGGGAAGAGCCTCCCATGCTGGCTTGGCGGCCAGGGCAGAGTCGATCGCCTTGGAGACATCGGCGGGGGTTGCGGTGTGGTAAGAGGCCACGGGTGAGGCGTGGTCAGCTGGGTTGAACTGCTGCGACAGAGCGGATGTCTTGATCTGGGAGAGGGTTACTGGTCAGCTTCTGCCACAGGTCTCGCAGTTCATTTGGAAAATTCCTACCTCCTGGCCACCGACAACAACGGGTACGGTCCAAGGGCCCTGCTTCTGGAGCTTCTCAACGGCAGCAGTCAGGTCGGCCCGTTGCTGGCTGCCCTTGGCATAGTGTTGCTGAACCACACAAGTCAGTATCATGAGATTGAGCCAGTTCCAGAAATCGACCGGCACTTACGTTTGGTTCGTTCAGGACTTTGGGAGTTTGGAATGCTGCCAGAGTGGCGGTAGCAAGACCACGCTGCTGACGCAGGCCACGGGCGGCAGCTGCACTGAACTTCCTGGAGAGCATTCTGACCTGTTTTGCTGTTCCTCGACGCAGACTTGAAATAGGAGCTTGTATGGACAACGGAAGAAGATAAAAAGCCACTCAGCCCTGATGTCTGGAATGCCAGTTGGTATTTATCTGTCGACCTGGATCATCAATCGGTTTATCGCGGGTTAAGTTGCAGGGTGAGCGGGGCGGTGGGGGTCGGTGCATCTCGATATCGGTGGATTTGCTGCGAGTTCCCGGGCTGGCCATTGGACAATTGCGGGCGGCTGATAACGAGCCAGGCGGCTGACCCCCGCCGAAGTCGGCTTGGCCCTTCTTTTCCACGAGAGCTCCGGTGCCTAGCTCCAGACCCCGTCGACGAGATGGACTGTTGAGGTCCGCGGTTTGCCGCTCAACTCCCCAAAGTGTGGGGCAGACCGGCTGGTTGACAGGCAAGGGACCAATATTTCACGTACAACAGAAGAAACGGGGAGAAGGATTTCACCGGCTAGGTCATATGATCATTATGCCCTCTTCCGATCTCGCCGGCAGCGCATTTTGTAAGCTTCAAGAAAAAGTTGGAAATCAAGGAGGCATTGGTAACCTTCGGGGCCCGGAAAAAAAGATGTTGATTATTATGTCCGGTATTATCAGGTCTTTTCTAGCTCAATATTTATTACAATATCCGGCTTGGCTCCAAGTCCCTCCTCTTCACACTCTCTACTCTCCCTCATCAGGTGGTATATTCGTAATTCTTGATGCCTCAAACGCAATGCATCAAACAGGTTCGCCTAGTAACACCCGGCCCAGCCAAGTCCGGCAGATTAGGCGTGGGGGGTCCAAGCATACATACAGTCCATGCCGGTCTACCTCGAAATCTCATGCAGGTCCACGTCCACGCCAGGAGCGTACCAGCGCCCGTCCCCATCTCTATTGTGCAGAGGCCGCTGGAGCTGCTGATTCAGCTGCCGCTGATGCCGAGATAGCAGCCTTCTGGTACCGGAGCAGAGGAACGGTAAGGCCATAGCCTTCTGTAAACCCTTGACGGTCATGCTGGTCAATCTCCACGTTGATGCGGATGTCCAAGCTACCGTCGCTGCCTTTACCGTGCGTCTCAATCGATGCAGACCTGTGCTTCGTTCCAGCCCCAAGCTCGCCCTCGTGCAAGGGGTGGTGCCCGTCCTTGCCTAAAAACGATGGCTTCTCGTTGTGGGGAGCCTCGCCAACACTCCCGTTCGCTGAAGCACCCGGGTTGTTGGGCGAGTTCTCTGTAAGAGAAGCGAAGTTGCGGCTCGGCATTGTACAGTGATTAGAGCCTGCCGTCTTGTTCGACGTTCCGGGATCTTTGTCAAAGAGGTTGAGCAACGTCTCGTCGGTGTCTGAGTTGAGGTGATGGATCTTGTTTCTTCTCGCGAGCAAGTTCGCAACTGCCTGTGGGGGTGGCTTGTTCACAATAGCTGAAGAAACCACATTGGTGATGTAACGACTGTCCTCCTCGGCGGGGATCTTCAACTTGGGGTTAGAGTAAAAACGCCCAAAGGCAGCCAAGTGAACATCGCCTCCCAAAATGGTAGTGCGGACAGAGAACTCAGCCGAGGCCTGCTGCAGTCTTTCAATCAAGCCGAGGCGTTCCAACTTATGAATCTTGGCCGTGTAGTGGTCATCCAGGTCGTCCAACAGATCAGGGCTGCCGTCAAAGTGGTTAAACAAACCACCACCAACACCAAATCGCTTGTGCATCAGCTTCACTGGCCCGATAAGGGGACTGCGAAGAATGTTTTCCAACCATGTCAAACGCTGATTGTTGATTGTTAGTGTCACATGTCTTGCCGTCTGATACAGGGACACATATTGCTTACTGGATATGCAATAGGAATTCCGAGTAGCACGATCAGGTGCTTTATCGGCTGACCTGCATCGGCAGCAGCACGCAACTCTTTATGCAATCTATCAAAGATCAAGTCGTATGTCTCTGGGTAGTTGATTTGATGGCGTGTACGCTAGGTTCCCCGATGTCAGTGCCAATTCTTACAATATAAGCCGCTTCCACTCACCTCAACTCGAGCATCAAGACCAATGAGGGCCATACGAGCACCCAGCCGAGTGTATAGATTATACGAATGCTCTGCTACATATGGGCCGGCCTTTGTACCGACAATGTAACAGGGCTCTACCTTGCGCGGTGCCACAAATGTGTTGATGAGCTGGTTTGGGTCAGGCCCCTGGCCTGCACCGTCCAAGGCCACATGGTCTAGGAGAGTCAGTCGCACCGTTCCCGACCAATGGGTTGGTGTTCGGATCACAAACATACCTGACGTGTACGTCGACGCGGGAGGGGGCAGATGGTGCTGGAATAGCAGGTAATACTTGTGAGCAACACCGCCAATGCCACGGAACACATCGCATCGCATGAAATGATCAGTGTATGAACCAAAACCATCGATAATCTGTAACCCTCTCAGTCAGTTTCAAGAGCCTACATCTCAGTCCTAACGTCTTGTCTCACATCATGGTCGTCCCAGATATTAACCTGGGGTATCTGTCCGTTGGCGGTCGAAAACGGCTCCGTATTATACCACCGGATGTAGTTCTTCAAATAATAATCATCGCACTCGGCTCGGAGCTTGCCTGGGAAAGGGAAGTCTCTACGCTTCTGGGGGTTCGAAATCTCGGTCCACGGCCGCAAAGGTCCGTTGACTCGGATGCCGTCATTGTAGATCTGATCACCACCACCCAACATGACGTGGTACGGAGCAGCCTCGTGCTTCCTTATCACGTCATTCCAGAGCGCAGCACCACTCCAAGCATCTTCGTCGGTTCCGACACTGAAACCATTGCAGGAATGGAACATGATGCGCATCGACTCGTCGATCGCAGGGATGAAAAAGTTGTTCTTCGCGGGCTTGTGGTCGCTCACGAAGCGCAGCTCGGGGAGGAAATACTCGTACTTGACCTCGCTTGGCTCCAGAGGGGCGACAATATCAAATTGCCAGAAGGTGTTGCGCGGGTCGGAATAGAGGCGCTGGGACTCAATTCGTGAGCCTCCGCTCTCGTCGCCAACATCACCATTGGCCTGGCTCTCTGGTGTCGGCAGCCCGCCCCGAACACCGACCCGTCGCAGGATCAGCGATGGTGCGAACAGAACATCCTGGCCGCCTCCCTTCACAACAACGAGGACACTACCATGCCATTGGCCGTTCTCCATCTGGCGATAGTTGAGTAGCGGGCCGCAGACAATTTCCTTGCCATCGGTAGAGCCGTTTACACGACCATCCTCGGGGGCATCTTGGGGCAAGCCATTGCCCTCGTCGACATGGCCAGCGGCAGCCATTACAGATTGATGGGGCCCTACACCGTCGCCCTCGGGCTCGACACGGGAGGTCTTGTTGATGAAATTCGCCAGATCACCAGTCGTGCCACTCGCAGTGGGATCTCGAGCTTCCGCGGCGGGGTGGCTGCCGGCGTACCTGTTGAATGCGGTCGACTCCTGGTGTCGCCATCGTGTGGCAGACGCGTGTGGGTTGGATGCGTTCTCCCCTCCAGGGAGCGGGCTCCGCGATCGCGCGCGCTCGGCCATGGCTTATGAAACAGTGCAGCTTTTATTCAAGGCCTGCCTGGGACCCTCACGATGTCAGCTATACGGTGCAATCTCAGTTTTTATGCGGCGCGGAGCGAATTGGTGCCCACTTACGCAGAGTCATAAGCTGGAGGCTGGATGATGTGGCAGCCTGTGGTGGTGTTTTCGCGACCGACGAATTGCACTCGGTTGATGGGGGGTTGTGAGGGACGGGCGAGCCAATGTCTTACTTTGAGGGCAGGAGCAATCCTGGCAGCATCTACTCGGCGCAGGACGGCACCTATTTGAGCATAAGACTGGCAACGTGATGCTACGTCGTAGTAGACCATGCGATGGGTGGTTGGGAATATGATGGCGGAGGAAGCTTAGGAAACCAAACTACACGCGGGTAGGAGACACGACAGGAAAATGTGAGTATGGGAAGCTCGTGTGATTATTTTTAGTTGGTGAAATATGAACACCATCATCTATCTGCGCCAAGGCAGAGGATCAACAAGGAATTTGGAGTTCGTCCCACGCCAATACCTTCTGATGAAACCGCCGCCAGCCGCCGCGTGGGTAACTATTCATTTCGCATATACCATCCACCTGGGGCTGCGATGGACGTCAGATACACTCATCGTCATCGTAACAGCTCGTAACAGCCCATTGCTACCTGGGCAGCTCATTACCCGTCAGGCAGGGGAGAGTATTGATTCGGTTAATCTGCATGTTTTGACGCGGAGAATGGTCAGGTAAAGGGACATGCAGCAATCAGCGAGGCCCCTATTGGCTGAATGCCCAGCTACTATCGATATGGCTTAGCAGATGTTGTCATCATTTCCATCGACGCTGAGGCTGATGGTCCATTTGGGGCAAGCAGCTAGGATATACGTCACCACTCCACTTTGCCGACAGATCTCAATCTTGCAGCCTACCCTACACGCAATGTGCAAATGATGGATCTGGTGTTCTTTTTTCATTACACGGCAACCTGGTAGTGTCTGGTTTTATAGAGAGGAATTTACACTTGTTGTATCAATGGATAATTCGATTCACCAATGTCGGAATGCAATGTTGGCGGCAATGGTGTTTGTAGCCAGCTTAGTGACTTGCTGTCTGCTGCCCTGAACTTTTCTTCTTCTTATTTGCCCCCGGTCATTATAAGGATGATTGAGAAAACACACAGCTCAACAGACATGTCACCCTTACCACCAACACGGGTGAAAGCCACCAAGTATCCGGGGATACATACAGTACCTCTCCGGGCTGTATGTCGGGATTCACTCACCGCCAACCCATCCAAAGCGAAACATTTTTGAGGACAAAGGCTAAGGAGAGCAACCTCGCCAGGGGCTACAGTACTAGGACAACAAGTCTCACAGTATGTCTTACTACAAATGCATCGTCTTGCCTCACCGTAGTAGCATCGTAAACTATCGGAGAGCAAAAAGAAATTGCTGCGGAGAGGCGTAGGTACTGTTCACCAATGGAGGGCAACCGGCTCCACGAGACCGCCGACGAAGTTAAGAACCGAGTCATGATCACAACGCATGCACAACATCCACCTACTCGACACCAAGTGAATGGGAAAGCTAGTGCCGGCTGAATCTTCGGTATTAGGCATGGGAATTGTGCAGCTTCGAGCAGCGACCAGGTAGTGCACAGCTGGACAGGGAAGCCTGAGGCGATTACATAATATGCGGCGGCCCACCCTTGAGGCCTCTTTCTCTCAGGCCACTGCCATTTTTAATTCGAAAGAAATTTTTTCTTTCTCAATCATCCCCCGAAACCCGAAATATTTGTTGGCAAACCAGCCGAAGAATCTCGGGTTGACGCCCGCAGTCATCTGCTATGTATTACATTGCACTATAGATGCCACGTGGGAATTCACCCGCATTGTCATGACGAGGCCTCTCAGCGTCGTGGCATCATTGGCTCGTCCTGCCCGTGATGCTGTGCGACCTTGGGGACCGAGTTGGACTGCGCATGATACTGGTGCCAAGGTAAGTGATTCGCCATGTGACAAGGACATTGAACGGCATATGTGTGTACAGCAATGGGCTTCAAATTCGTGCCGACTTGCTGAAGGAATTATCAACGTGCCAAGATCGAACACCCTACTATTACCAAACACCTCTGCTCCAAGAAAACCACGGACACTGGTGCATGAAGATAGGTTTACATAACAGTGACGACGACTTTTGTTTCATGTAGTTGAACCCCCTCCTACCATTGAGGGGAACCGGCGAGACGTGTGGCGGTGGCAGAGATCTTTTGTTCGCCCAGATGAAACAAGAGTAGGATCTGCGCCATCCATTGTGCATATTGGGCTATGTGTCGAGAGCTGCATATCTCATGACCAAGGGATCGGTAAATTGTCTCTTGCCTGGAATGATCCTCATGTTTGCATCATCAGTGGTCATTCGGTCAAGGGCGAACTGCTCGCTTCTACCATTCGAGGGACCGAGGGAGAGGCCGATTTGTCCATATGGTGAATCACGGCTTGTCCAGAAGTGGGAATGTTAGGCAATCGACTCGAAGCTAAGAGCGTAGCAACACGTGCTGTGGAGCTACAGAGAGACTTCTGGTTCTGACAACTGCCAAGCGAACAATGGCATCTGGGGCTGAGCTGGAGGTTTAGGTATCAGCGGGCAGTTTTCTGATGGATCATCGCTCGAAAAGGCTGAAATTCGTAAGCCGGTGTGATAAAGCATGAGTCTTGGCCGAGAGGGGTAAATGTGAAAATGGTGTGTTCCTCCTGGGCCGTACTGAGTTGATCCTTCACAAGGCCAGGAGAGCATCTTTTTTTGAGTTCTGAAACGTCGTGCTGGTTTAATTCTGTTGCCGAAAGGCGGATCCCTGAATGCTGCCTCGATCAAGCCGGCCGCGCGATGTCCGGGACCAAAAAAGGCCACCATCAAACTCCCTACTAATGAGTCCGTTAAATTGTGCCTAGACCGCTGGTTAATATGGCTTCGGCTGGTAGTGCTGATCATAGTTCATACTCACAGGCTAGGCTCAACGAAATGAGACCAGCAGTCCGTTCAGCCGCTCAGCCATTTCTGCACCGACAATACATTAGCAAACTAGTCCAGGCAAGACCTCGTGGGTGGGGGAATGGGCTAGGGTGTTGCTGGCTTAGGCTGGATCCTAAGTGATTGATGTGGGCGAGCGTCCCCTTGGCTAGCACAATTGACCTCTTTTAGGGCCTTGGGCAGAACCCCTGTCCAGCGGAATCAATGGTTCGTTGTGTGTTGTGAGATGATGAGTTTCTTGGTATCCTAGAATCCGGCCGGTGTGGAAGTTATCAGCAGATCTGTCGCCAGCGCAATGGTACACTGCCCGTTCAGCACATGCATGAGTTTACACTCCCGGGTTCCCAGCCGTTCTCGAACGAACCGCCACGTAGCTAGCCAAGTAGTGGCGTTCTCATTAGGGGAACCATGACGCTTCCCGAGACAAACCCTCCACACCGTAAATCACGTACCTACGAGTACATACATTACGGGCACTCACCTTGGGGTTCGGCACTTCGTGACAGGTCAGATGCGACAAATGGCGTTGGCTGGGCCGCTTTTTTGTCAACCAGGAGGCTGTGATGGCACTGACAGCAGCAACCTGCAGTAGCGAGAGATCCATAGATACCTCACCGACAGATCGGCAGCTGGTGAACAGCAGGGGTTATGCACGGACATGGACATGAGGACAGCTCATTATTAGTGCACTAGAACAGTCACAGAGCAATTCGGGGGTTCTACTGTACGATCCGCCTCCATTTCAGAACTGGCTGGCATGGGTGGAGGGGACTCCAAGGTTCGCCGCCATCTGTCCCCCGGATAGTTTCTTTGTGGTAGCTCAGCCATCATATAAGCCCTGTTTTTTACCAGCAATACATACGCATGCCTGGAAATAATTGTCTTGCGAGAGTGTGCTGATACATGCATGCATGACCGCTGGGTCCGGAGCTGTGTCTTGGAGGGGCTATGATTATTATGATTATGGACGGAGTCGCCGGAAACAGAGTTTGGGCACGCCGGTCTCAGGAAGACGACCGGATTTCGGGGTTTTGCTGATTGCCATCTGCGGCGGTCTGCTGTGTTGCTTTGCTGATGGGGTTATTAATACCTGCTTCTTGGTAGCAATGCAGTGCCTAGAATGCCGTGCCGTAGGACTCTGTTGTACCATCCATCGGGGTTGAGTTGTGCATTTTATGACAGACCCTTTTTTATAATTATCCACCCCATTCACACTGGTGCTAGGGGAAGACGCCTGCTGGGCTGACATCATCGGGGCTGTGGAGACGCGGCTGCAGTTATGAAGGGCCCTGGTGCCTCGCCCGCCCCTCCTTGTTTGTTTTAGGGGTTGCTGGCTGGATAAGGTGTGGGAGTTGCTGTATGAATTCTACTAGGTACTCATCACTCGCTCAGGTACTTGCTGATTGATATCTATGTACACAGTGATCAATCGACCTGCGGCCTGCCCGAGAAACTTGGGCCGCAACCGGGGCTTCCTGCACCCGTGGCATAATGCAATGGCTGAGGAGCCGCGAAATTGCAGTGTCGTCGAACGCAAATGATCGGCCTGGAACACGACTCTATTCTTCCGGAAGTAACCAAATGCAAAGATTGCGCGTTTTCAGCCAGAGATGCGCAGCAAGCTGCACACCATCTTTGGTGAGGATGGGAGTGTTTTCCTTAGTGCATCGTCCCACCCACAATCATGGGGCCATCCCCTGCGGATGGGTACACCAGGGTCTGTCTACTTGGGCCTCTACCGGGTTGAGAGCCTGGTGATCGGAGTATGGTTGATGGGTCGATCGCCAGCATACTAATTGCCATGCTTGGGGGCAGGACTGCCAAAACGTTACAGGCTCCTCGGATTCCGTAACAGCAAGGCATTCCTGCCCATGGATGCTCATACCTAGCGCTAAGGGACCTCCCGGCCGGCATGTGTTTGGGGACTGCTAATATTAATGTATGCATCATTTTTGTATCTAATGTACTCCTTTCCTCCTGTCG